TCTGATTTACCTATTGAAATTTTAAGAAAAGATTTATGTTCCTAACAATGGGCCCATAAACATAATAGACCACCTATAAACAATATTTAATATAAAATGTTTGGAAAATTTATTCATTCATACAGCTACTGCCTTTAATCCAAGCCCAGATTAGTTCTTCAGCAACTTTTTTTTTTATTGGTAACATAATATTTGCCTGGATTTTATTTCCTGATTTCAAAGAAAATACATACACACTGTAGAAAATTGGGGAAAAGGCAAAAAAGAACAAAGAGGAAAATAAAATCATAATCCAGAAATAAAACTACCCAGGATAAAGACTTTGTAAAGTATTCTACCAATTTCTCCAGTGATATTGCATACAGGCAATTCTTCTGCTTCTAAACAAATTCTGGATCATGTTTTATAACCTGAACTTTGCAATTCATAATATATCATGAAATTTCCTATGACATTGTTTTCTGAAAACATGCTTTTTTTCCTGACTGTATAACTCAGGGTCTATATATGCCCTAATTTATTTAAGTAAATCCTGTTTTTCAATTTGTTCTACCATTTTAAACACTGGTAAATATTAGGATATAAATAATGTCAACAATAAACATACATAAATCTCAGCAAACATCTTATTTTCTTATAATGAACTATTATCAATAGAATTGCCAAGTCAAAAAAGTAAAAAAAGGTAGAGAGAGGCAAAGCCAGGGAGAGAAGTACCAGTACTGAACGGGTCATTTTGCCAACCTAAAGAGACATTATACACTTAGGCTGGCAGTTCTCAAACTTTTTGGTCTCAGGACTCTTTTACAATCTTAAAGATAATTGAGGACCTCAAAGAGTTTTTGTTTACCTGGTCATAAAATATTTACCATATTTTAAAAATTGGGAATTTATTAATAAAAAATATACTTATTACTTCATTTAAAGTTATAATAAACTCATTCACGTTAACATAAGCAACTTTTTAAATAAAAATATTTTCAAAAACAAATTAGTCATAAGAGTGGCAATGTGTTACATTTCTGCAATTCTAATGTCTAGTTAATGAAACTCAGTTTCTCATTTCTGCTCTGTGTTCAATGTGTGGTAACATATCATAAAACTCCTAGGAAACTCCATTGTATATTGTGAGAAAGTGAGAATAAAAAAAGTGAATGACATCTGAGTAGTATGTTGAAAACAGTTCTCAACTCGCAGACCCTATAAAAGAATCTCAGGGACCTCTACATGTTCCCAGATCATACTTTGAGAATCCTGCTTCAGACAACAAAAATCCTTTGAAGACTTTTTAAGCAGAAAACATCAATATTACCAGTTAGAAAATGTGTTTTAGAAATACAGAGTACCAATACTAGCTCATTTTTAAATAATACATTTACTTACTACATTGCACAAAATTAGCAAGCATTATTTCAAATTATGTTCAGAGAAGTAACAATTCTATCAACACCACTACTACTTGCTTATTTTTAAAAAGGCATCTTTTAAAGGTACATATTTTAAAACCCAAGTGTACCACAAAAGTCTTTAAGCATAAATAAAAAATATTAAGATTGTGATTTATTTTCTTAAAACATTACTCCTTACCATGTATGGTGTCATATATTGGAAACCATCCTGAGATGACTGTTGCAGCTTCACTATACAGTAAAGGGTCAATATCAATGTACACTTTACCAATGGCATCATTTGCACTGTAAGTATCATGGTCAAGAACTGTGATCTGTAGAGGTTCATCTTGTAAGTCTTCATCATCCACCTAAAAGTGTACCTTAAAATTAAATCTTATATAGTTTTAAGATCTTAATCACCACACACACACAAACACACTATATATATATACACACAGATATATATACACATATATATACATACACACACATACACCTCAAAAGATAGCTTATTTCTGGGAAAAAAATCTTATAGATTTATCTCTGAGCACAAAGGTGGAGATATTAACACACAACAAAAAGTTATAACACCTTTCTCTATACAAGATATCATCTTTCTGAAGAAAAAAAGAGTATAGTTCGCCTCCAAGCACAAAGAATGATTAACACAAAGTTTTAACTCCATGTTTTATACATTGCCCTATATTTTACTACTATGCCTATGATATACAGCAAAAGTGCTTAAGCTATATCATAAAAGAGTTCATATATTTTCTACAGAGAGAAAGAATGCTAATGAGCACAATGACACCAAAATTTCTAAAGCAATTTCAGAGAATAAAACTGTAAGCAAAACTAACTTTATGTAAGAAAAAACAATCTAAGTTTGTGAATTAAGTTCAGAAAACAAATGTCTAAACTTTCTTTTATTCAGTCACTATGGACAGGTGCGGTGGCTCACGCCTGTAATCCTAGCACTCTGGGAGGCCGAGGCGGGCGGATTGTTTGAGCTCAGGAGTTCGGACCAGCCTGAGCAAGAGCGAGACCCTGTCTCTACTAAAATTAGAAAGAAATTAATCGGCCAACTAAAAATATATAGAAAAATTAGCCGGGCATGGTGGCGCATGCCTGTAGTCCCAGCTACTCG